ACGTTTCGGATGTTAATCCTCCGACGAAGGATTAACATCCGAAACGTCAGTAAGTTTTTCCACATACTTTTTTACGGTGTTAAATTTATCTTTTCACATAACTGTTTCATCAGTAACAACCTTACTTCCAAGTATCGCTCTCATTATCTTTCGGATTGACCTGATTACBCGCTCCCAGACACCACCCATGTGTGAGGCTTTTGGAGGATTGAAATACCATTGTACGTTTTTCTGGCTCAAGGTCTGGTTAATCTTGTCTTGGTTCCATTCTTGGATTGCTTTGTGTATCTCCCTCTCTCCAGCCCMCAAATTASTACCGTTATCACTGTACACCACGGAAGGGTTTTCTCTGGTATTGGCAAATCTACGGTAGGCATTTATAAACGAATCAGTATCCAATGATTCGACTACTTCGATGTGGGTTGCTCTTGTTGCCAAGCAGGTAAAAATACACCCGTATCGTTTGACATGTGATCGTCGTTGACGCACGTAAATTGGGACGAAGAAATCAACACCAACTGACGTAAATGGAGGATCATCTGGCTTGACTCTTTCTTTTGGTAGTTCTCCKATCATTTGCGTCATAGGCAAACTGTTCATCCTTTTACAAAGGAAACACTTTCCGATAACTCTGCGAGCTGCTGACTTTCCTTTAATTACCCAATACCTTTGGCGCAGATGCGACAATACATACGATTCCCCGAGATGTCCACAATCTTCATGACAGGCCTGGATTATGAGATCCGTTACGCGATGACATATTGGCAGAATAATCTGATGTTTGGATTGATACGGGACAGATGAGTTTTCAAGTCTTCCTCCCACTCTCAACACTCCTTGTTCATCGATTATMGGACTCAATCCATGAAGTGATGACGGTAATCCTTTCAGCTTCGCCTTGACTTGACGGTGATCAGAACCGTTGAACACTTTAATGACTTCCGGATACGCTTGCCTTTGGATGTGCTTTATTATTGTTGTTTCAGCTTGGTTAAGATCGTTTACTGTCAGTGATTTCGACTGGCCAGTTTTTTTGGTTTGAAGCCATAACTTAAACTTCATAACTTCAGCAACCACGCAACGGCTTGTTTTAGCCTATTCCATGACGAATACCCTTCTATCAGCTTTACGATGGCGTCATCATCTGTAACTTGAATAATCGAGGTCATGGATTGAGCTGGATGAGCTTTCACTTCAGGATCTTTGTCTAAGCAGTTGGATGTCAGRGCATGAGGCTCTGCAGGCCAGAGAGCCTTGTCTTCTGCTAAAAAGTCTGGGCCATGCAACCAGTTGCTGTGGCATAGATCCTTCACTGCAATACCTCTACTTGCGTCATCCGCTGGGTTTAAGTTGGTTGGGACATATCTCCATTGATACGATTCGGTGTGGTCGTGGATAACTGTAAGACGGTTGGCAACAAACGTGTGGAATCTTGTTGTTGTGTTTCTGATGTACTGAAGTACTGATGTTGAATCAGTCCAGAAGGATTCATCTATGGGTATTTCGAGTTCCCTTCGAAGAGCCTTGTCCATCTCGGTGGCTAA